GGATGCTGGTCTGTTACTATGTGTTGCTGGTCCTGCTACGGATGCTGGTATGTTACTATGTGTTGATGGTCCTGCTGCAGATACTGGTATGTTACTATGTGTTGCTGGTCCTGCTGCAGATGCTGGTATGTCACTATGTGTTGATGGTCCTATTGCGGATGCTGGTATGTTACTATGTGTTGCTGGTCCTGTTGTGGATGCTGGTCTGTTACTATGTGTTGCTGGTCCTGTTGCGGATGCTGGTATGTTACTATGTGTTGATGGTCCTGCTGCGGATGCTGGCATGTTACTATGTGTTGATGGTCCTGCTGCGGATGCTGGTATGTCACTATCTGGAACGTAAACTTGATCAATTAATGGCCTATCTATAAAATCCACGTGATCAAAATTTGTTCACTTTAGCAATCTATTATAAGAAATATTCGAAATCTGCGAGGCCTTTAAGGGCTGCCATATAGCGCATCACTGTATAAACTTTAGAATTTAACGGCAATATACATTAGTTTCATACTCAAAGATGGAAAAATCGAACAAAAAACATGACCTTCATGACAATGCACCTACTTTGGCCGATCTTTTGTCAGTTGAATTCACACGTTTATGTATTCAAATTCTTTATCATAAAAATCTATTTCAAATCTAAATTATGCAAGTACGGCCTTTTAACTGACATGACAACTAAAGCCTTTTAATCGACCGAGGTAGTTCTCGGAATTTTCAATTGTACTGTAAGTACGTTTTCTAAAGACCTAGTTACATTGTACTTTAATGTCTTTCAAGCGATTCACTTTTAAGTGTATGAAATCGCTTGAGAACACTTCCGATATTTCGCGATTATTTGTCAGTCGAGTCTTAATATAATCTCTCACCTGCAACCGAGCGCAGTTCTGTAACATTATCATACCGAGTCGTAAGCCGCGTTAGGATATTACAACGAAAATGATATAACCCGATTTAGCTCAGTTACATGTTATTGATTGTTTTTTCGCACCTTTTATTCGAAAAACTATAACATTTTGCAATAATCCAAAAGTTCCGTATCTCAACTAAATATGGCCTCTTCATTACCGACTCTGCGTAAGACTGCTAACGCGGAACAATGGAGTCCGTCTTTACAAAGAAGTAAATATATTTCACAGTATAGATTATATTTTATCTACAACTTCGGGAATATATAAAACATCAAGACAATACATAAAACGCCAAAACAGGATATTTATAATGCAGACTGTTAATTTCGAGCCGATTGTCTCAGATGAATACAAATTCCGCAAAATGGTGCGGAAACGTACATCATGACAGATCTGACGAGATAGAAGAACATAGCAGGAAGTATGATGTGAGCTATCCGAGTCTAAGGAGCGAGAAATGTTAACCGCCACCACTAATCTGGTTGTTTAACTACCCAGCCATAATTTATATTGTTGTCCATCCCATTCTATAGCTATAACTTATCTTGTCTTACTATCTAGCCCACTGATTCTGTTGCGACTAATATGCCCCCCCC